GCGGATGGAGCAGGTGTTGGTGTTTGTGGTGAGATTACCAATGGTTGCATTATTAGAACTTTCCGCTACCACAAGAATAAGGGCGAATTTTATCCTTGCTTGTGAAGTTGGGGCCTTTTCTGCCTACATTCTTACCGCTAACATTGCACTCTGACGAGTCATCAACTCCAGAATCTGGAAAACGAATTCTTAAAAGGTTATCGAGTGTACCTTATTAGTCAACTATACAAAGAGATCTGTTATCTACTCCTCCACCGTTTTGGCAAACGTCATAAAGTCAAATGAGTCAGACCGCTCGACGGGGCACCAGCAAGGCCCAAGACCAAATTGTGTTTTATATCTCATTTCGTTTTTTGGTCGAAAACATGCTTTGTGCAAAAAAATATTTTCTCTTCCACTTATATTCGTCCTTTGTTTTCGGCTTTTTATTGGTTTTATATATCATTTTAAGCAGCTTTAGCATCATCATGGTGGACATATTTACCACAATTATGCTCCTCTTTGAAGGTAGCTAGGCTCAAGAGTGCAATTCATTTCTAGTATTTGATTCGGAATTTATTCTTGATGTCCTTCAGCAATGCTATGCTTCGCAGTTCACTGCTATTCTCCTGCCTGAGCACTTTATTACACAAAAACATAGTCAGCCCAGGTCGCTTGAGATGATTAAGGAGTGACAGTTGACGTTTCCCACAATTAAATATGTAGGCCTCACGAGTAACTTTGCTTTCACATAAATTTGCCTCGAAAATACTATCTCATCTAGGCTAGACTGCAGTTAGATACCGACTTACATAGCCTCATTAGCACCTCCAGCAGGATAATATATTGCGTCATGAGTCCCATGGAGATGCATTGACTCCACTCTGCCACACGCCTGTGATATTCGAAGCAATCCAGTCTTTTCACAGCTCACATTTTATAATTGGATTGTCCACCAGACAAATAAATGAGCTATATTAAGCCTTGTTAGTTAAAGATGATTAAAGATTGATAGTTGAATTTTGCAAAAATGATATGACTAGGCCTCATGTTACCATCCAATTTCACGCAGTCTTACCTCTAAAAAGGTATCCTTATCCAAGGTGGACTGCAGTTTCGAACTCGCCTGGATATCAGCAGCATCCTGGATGATAATGTCCTTCAGAAAGCAAGGCTACGTGGAATAGAATGAGATCTAAGGCCTACTCATATCATTATAAAAAGTTAACTACCAATCCTCTATCAGCCTAAACGATTGAAGCTGAATACGGCTCCCATATACAATCTACAGGTAGTCTCAAAATCTACTTATGAAGCATAAAATAAGCAAATTTGTATTTGCCACTGCAAACGACAAGGGTACTTGCAATATGTATGAATAGCTTTCTAGACCACCAGTATTGACGACTATGCATATGAAAAATTCCGACACGACGTATTCGCCCTATTTCGTTAAATGTGATGATGATGATGATGATGATGATGCTGATGATGCTGATGCTGATGATGATGATGGTGGTGATGATGATGATTATGATGAAGATGATGATGACGATGATGATGATGATAGTTCATTCTGCCCATAACGATATGAGTAGGCCTCATTCTTCCATTGGATTTCACATAGCCTCGCAGCGGGACTCGAACTCGGGTTATGCTATTGCAGCGCATAGTCTCAACACGTCAGCCACTACTCCACACTGCCCGAATGTCCCTGGGTTACAGGAAGACGTAAATTTCAAGGAAGGCTAGGCTTTTTCCATATCACTTTCTGTGGTGGGATTTTCGATGAAGCAAACTTATATTTGCTTTATAAACTGACTATGACGGTTATTTTTGTTCATATGTAGGTTGTATATCATATATATATGAGATGTACTCAGCGTTTTTCGTTTAATGTGATTAGGGACTAGTAATCAAATTTTTCCTCATTGAAATTCACGAGGCCTACTCATATAATTGGGGGGAAATTCAACTACCAGTCCTTAATCACCATAAACAAAATAGAGTGATTATGTCTCAAGTATGCGATTCGGAAAGTTTTCTTTTAAGTAATATACCTCATTAAATAACAAAGGCAGTCAGTTTGTTTTCAACATTTACTGTCTTGTTTCCGGGTAACAACAGAGGAAAAATAGACCTTTAAACACTTCATTCTACTACTCGTCTCGACATTTGACGTGAGTGGATAGG